AATAAATAAAATCTTTAAAAAAAAGAACTTTCCTTATAATAAATAAATAAATAAATAAATAAACAAACAAACAAACAAACTCCATACTGGACATGGTCAAAGAAAAAATTAGTAAACTGGAGGATCCCCTCAGGGCACAGCAAAGAAAGAAAAAGCAATTGAGACATGATACCATGTATGCTATCATTTAATACACCCTTTGAAGAAAATATAGAGAGCCAACTAATTTATCAACATTTCTGAATTCGTGGACCCCAAAACAATATGGTTTTAAATTTGTCCTATTTCTGCTGAGAGATTCAGACTCTTCCTTTCATCCTGGGTTATTTCATGTCCTCAGATTACGACGATAGTGAGTTTCTTTACACCTATGCCTATATCTTCTTTTTTAAAAATGGCCTTTATGTCTTCAAACTGAGCTGCAATAACAGACTCTACTGGGCCAGAAAAAGAGGCTGACCCCACAATTCACAACCAGAAGTATGGAGGGACTCAGGAAATGAGATAAAAGGGGTGAAGGAGAATAAAGACAGGGGGAGGGAGAAGAAGTCCAAGGAGGAAGCAAATGGATGGAACAGTAGAGCCACCAAAATGAGCCTGTCCTCATCTCCCTGGGTCCAGGAGCACTCATCACACAAAATAACTGAGCACCTACGGTGTGAGACATAAGGCAAGTGCTCTGCCATTACCGCAGGATACTGAACCACCACATCTATGACACTGTTTATAATGTGGCTCCAGACAGTTAGGTGGGGAAAGGAGAACTGGTAAAAAGTAGGCTGCTGTTCACCTTGGAAAATCAACTAAGCAAATCAAGGAATCATGAAAAGCTAGGATCTAAAAACAAAAATGGATTGAGGAGGCTGGCTGGTTCAGTTGGTGGGGCATGCGACTCTTGATTTTGGAGATGTAGGTTCGAGCCCCACCTTAGGTGCAGAAATTACTTAAAAATAAAATCTTTTAAAAGAAACAAAAACAAAAACAAAAATGGATATAGTTTGCCATTTGGGCAAAAGGGAGGTAAACTAGTCACAGAGATGACATAGTATAAGTCTAAGACCTAAAAGAGGCAGAAATAAATAGAGGAAGCTGGTAAGCAAATCACTGAAGAGAATGAATGAAAAGGAAGGAGTGACAGAAAACTTGGTGCGCCTGGGTGGCTCAGTCGTTAAGAGTCTGCCTCCAGCTCAGATCATGATCCCAGCATCCTAGGATCCACCAAGCCCCACATCGGACTCCAGCTCAGCGGGGAGCCTGCTTCTTCTCCCTCTCCAGCTCCTCCGTGCTTCTGTTCCCTCTCTCACTCTCTCTCTCTCTGTCAAATAAATAAAATTTAAGACAACTAACTAATTTGGCCAACATCAGTCACACATCTGCATCAGATTTCATGAGAGCCATCAGCCTGTACCACAGTCCACCAGCCTTGCCATTTATTAACACTGAAGATGTGATCTCACATTGTGATTTCCTAAATTTACATTAATAATAATGCCTCTGGCATCCGAGTCCTTGCCGAAGCATATAAAAGGCTTCCACTGAAAGCTCACTCAGGCTTCTAACATGCTTTATTGTAGTAAAAAGAGTAGGAAATTAAACAAATCCATAAAAATTAAACACTAACCACGAAGCAAACACTAGATGTGGGCTTCTGCCTCCTGGTGCCTTCTCTTTGTGAACGAATCTGTAGGAGCGACTGACGTAATGGCCGTATCACGGAGTGAACAGAGCTGAGGCAATCAGAGAGTTGCTACTCTCCTGAGATGTCTTTCCACGCTGGTCTAGCTCTTTGCCACCCACGAGAGATCAGACCCCACAGAGAATACACAGGTAGCTCTTTTTAATACCATGGCAGCTTCTGATTTGCTCAACAAAGCCAACAGGTGATTGCTTCCCTGGGCCCATTACAAATGGCTCAGTGTTGGAACAAGAAGCTTGTGAGCAGAGAGCTCTCTTTCAACTACTCCGTTTTGGTATAACATTTATTTTTTTTCCTAACTATAGAAGCAATGCATGTTTAATACTCAACTTTGACAGCATGTAATGCCTCCCACTGAACACTACTTTCAGTGCTCTTTCTGAAGGATGGAGATTCCCAATGGGCTGCCAAGGGCCACATCTGGACCCAGTTTCCTGGGCCCACTCAGTCACTCTGGGTGTCCAATAAAGCACCCTTAACCTCTGGCTCATTCAGCAGCAGAGGGCAAAAGCTGATGAATGTATGCACTGGGTTTTTCCCCCTAAATCAATTATCAGAGGAAGAGCCAGAGAACAGGAAAAACCCTTTGAAAGCACCAGAGTTATGAGCTATGCAGGATTAAAGATGGCCACAAACTCTGACATCCCTTCCATTACAAGGTGGGTCTACATCCCTCCCCTGGAAGCTGGGTGGGCTGTGAGATTGCTTTGTCCAATAGCATATGGCAGAAGTGATGCTGTAACCCTTTCTAGGCCTGGCCTCAAGGGGCTGGCACTCTCATTTCCTGTCTCTTGAAACGCCTGGTCTTGGAGTGCTCACTGTGGGAGAAGCCAGCCACAATGTTAGAAATCAAGCTACCTGGGCACCTGGGTGGCTCAGTTCGTTAAGCAACTGCCTTCGGCTCAGGTCATGATCCTGGAGTCCCGGGATAGAGTCCCGCATCGGGCTCCCTGCTCAGCAGGGAGTCTGCTTCTCCCTCTGACCCTCCCCCCTCTCATGCTCGCTCTATCTCATTCTCTATAAATAAATAAATAATAAATAAATAAATAAATAAATAAATAAATAAATAAATAAAATCAAGGAACCCACAGACCGCCAGGCTGCGAGAAGCCCAAGTGATGGGGAGAGACCCTGGAGAATAAGATGAGGAGGGAAAGATGGGGGAAGCAAGATGCACACGGGCCATCTTAGAAGTAGATCCTCCAGCCCCAGCCAACACCATATGGATCAGAGAAAAGCACCCAGCTAAGCCCCTCTTAGATTCCTGACCCACAAAACTGTGAGGAAGACAGAAGGGTTATTTTTAAGCCACTGCATTTTGGGGTAGTATGTTATGCAGCAATAGTGAATAGGAGCATAAGGCAAGGTAGGCAAGTTCTTGAGAAGAGGAGATGCTCCCACAAAGCCAAAGGGTCAAGGGGCCACCTTAACTGGACCACAGTGGGGAGGGGTGCCATGGCAGAAGCAAAGCCTGAGAGTTCCAAACAGATTACACCCAAACAGGTCAAGGGTGCTGAGAATTCTGGTCCTGTTGGTGTGGTGGGTCAGCTTGGTTTCAAGTACCAACTCAAGACCAACCGGGGCAGAACAGGTCTCAAAGAGCCATTTGGGGGAATTACGCTACTTGTTCCTCCCTCCCAGGTACCCAGAAAAGGGGTATCCTCATTAACTGCACACACATCTATGACAGACCCCTCTCCATCCCCACTGCCAGAAAGGCAGTTCTGCTAGGACTACCTACTCCCCTTGACCACAACCCTTTTATTAATCCCACCTCCCAGGAGCCACCAACAAAGCAAGTCAAGGACACACAAGTGGCACTTTCAGGTAGCCCTTCCATAAAGCATTTCTCCTATCCCCCTTCCCAACAGCCCCAGACTTCCACTGTGGCTCCAGGTGGCCCCCAGGAGGTCAACTCCATATTCTACGAAACACATGACCTAAACTGAGTCACACAGTCCATCCCATATTGGTTCAAGGGTGGCCATGTGACCTAAGCTGGTCCAATCAAAGTGACCTTCAGGACTTCTGCTTGAAATGCAGAAACAAAGACTTGCTCTCCTTCTTGGGATGGTGAACTGTGAAGACTGCAACCATCATGACCATCCTGCAGAAGGCCTGCCTGAGGACAAGGCTGACATGCACGGGGAAAAGCAGGGCTCAGAGAATCCCAGAGAACAGTCACAGTGGTGATGACAGAGGGCATCTAGCCCAAGCTGAACCTGAACTCATCATACCTCCACATGCTTCAGTCATAAAGCAATAAGCTCTATTTCAATGAAGACAGTTGAGGTGGGCGGGGCCTAAAGGGAAGAGCTGCAGGTAGTGAGGAAAAGCCTGAAAGGTGGGGCGGGTAGGGAACAGAACAGGAAATAAAGGGAACAATCTTCCCACTATTCAATCCTTAACAACAAGTTAAGAGACATAAAATAAAGAACAGCCTAACACTGAGATGTATTACCAAAGGAGGCTAAACATTCTAATAGCTTTGAAGAAAAAGGCAAAATATGATGGTTTTAAATGCAATCTGCCCCCTCCCCAGAAACATGAAAACAGAATATAAATGAATGTCCCCTTAAACAGACTCATAATTTCAGATTCATAATTCTCCCATAAACCAGGACCACTATTCCAAGGCATTTTCTAGACTAAACCTCAAACTAGGTTGGCATTCCCGCCAATAAGCAGTTAGGCAAAGAACTATGCCTTCACTGTCCAATATGACATCCAATAAGCACACATCGGTATTGGGTATTTGAAGTGTGCCTGGTCCAAATTGAGATGGGCTATATGTATAAACTACACACCAAGATTTAGAAGACTTCAGCACCAAAAAAGAATGAAAATTATCTCAATCAACTTTTTATATTGATAGTGAAGTGAAATCATACTATTTTGGATATATTTGGGTTAAATAAAATATACTTTAAAATTAATTTCACTTGTTTCTTTTTACTTTTTTTTAATATGGCTACTAGAAATTGAAAAGGATTTGTGGCTTGCATTGTTTTCTCTGTCGGACATGATAAGCAAACAAAATGAAACACCACTGTATCAAACACACGTCTTGGTTGCTAAACATTTCACAGGTGAACAAAAGAATGAAGATGGGTAAACAGTATCAGGGGCCTTCAGAAGACTCTTACCATGGCAGAGAAGGAGCCACTACGTTGTTTTAAGGAAATGATAAGCTCAAACAACAAACTTCCTGGAAAAGGAGATGCTGTAATTGCAGATTCTCTTTTCCCCCCTCTGGAAGTGTCCCAGAGACTCTCCTCTTGGGCGGGCTCACCCCCCTGCCTACCTTTGATGAGCTCCGGGCTGTATGTCTTCCGCAGCTGCTCCAGGAAGCTGTTGTAGAAGCTCTCTGCCTGCTCCGTGGGCATTGCCAGGTGGAAGTCAGGCTTGTTGCCCTTGAGGACGCACTGGAGGGTAAACTGGCTGATGCACAGCACCTCGTACTGTTTGTCCATCACACTCTTCGACCAGTGTTTCCCGCTCTCATCCTCAAAAACGCGCAGGTTTAAAATCTTTCTGACCCTAAGTGGAAAACAGTGGTGAGAGCTACCTAAAGAATCATAAGCCCCCCAACACACTCCATACCTCCAAAATGTCACCAGCATCCTGTCAAATAAGGACATAATATTGACGTAATATTATATGTATTACATATATATAAGGACAAAAGAAGCAAGTTACTTGGGCCTCGGGCAAGTTACATGAGGTAGTCACAGGGCTGTTTTGGGATTCTTTTTTTTTTTGGTCAGTCCCTCCAGCAGCTACCCACGGGAACTGGAGCTAAGAACAACCACTCACTACCTGCTCCTTCAAGTTAGTGGATATGTCAAGACATGGGTCCAATTCTAATTTTTTTTATAGAAGAATTCAATCTTTACACTGGAATAAATGATACCCCCTTTCTACATCCTTTCTTGGAGCTACTCAAAATGAACCACTGGGCAAACACCATGGAGAAAACTCAAGGTTACTGCAAATATACAAAAAGGCCTGGCGAAAGCCTCCCTGACAACTGTGTCACATGCCTCTTGAGCCCCAGGAGGGCCTTTCTTATAAATGTGGATGATAAAGAGCAGCCACTTTGGGGAGCCTGGGTGGCTCAGTTGTTAAGCATCTGCATTCGGCTCAGGTCATGATCCCAGGGTCCTGGGATCGAGCCCCGCATCGAGCCCCGCATTGGGCTCCCTGCTCCGCGGGAAGCCTGCTTCTCCCTCTCCCACTCCCCCTGCTTGTGTTCCCTCTCTCGCTGCATCTCTCTCTGTCAAATAAATAGAAAGAGCAGCCACTCTGCCAAGGAAGAGAACCAGGGAACATTTATTCCTTAGCGGGAATTAAGTTCCAAGTCTGATTTCAACCTAATACAAAGGGACATTTGGGTGGAATTACACCAGGTATGGGCACCAACAGGCAGAATAAACAGATCCACATACACCTGAAAACAAATGTGCCATGTGGTGCTGGGGGTGGGAGGAAGGCAAACATGGGGACAGGGGAGGCGGCCTGTACTTACAGAGCCAGTCAGGGAACAGCAATGACAAACTCCCCCATCTTAGTAAAAAGAGCACCAGCTTCCAAGTCAGCGAGCCTAGATTCTAACTTGAATTCAGGCTTTTTGCTACATACATGTTCATGATCTCAGGCAAGTAATTTAACCATCTGAGCTCCAGATCCTATGCATACAATGAAAAACTGAGCATTTTTTAAGTGCATAAATGGTACCCAGATCATAATGCTTAAATTGGAAAGAGAAATCATTCGTAAGAAAAGAAGTTAAGTTTTTTAATAAGAGAATGGTTCATGGATAAAGGAGCAAATAGGGACTGAGGCCATTGGGTTCCGGCTCTGCTCCTGACTTAGTGGGTGTCACCTGACAAACAAACTACTCTTCCTTGGTCTCCTCACCTGCAACATGGAGATAACCATATAGATCAATGGGACACAGATAAAAGTAACAGGGGCTCACTTCATAGGAACAAAATACTATCAAAGTTCCCAGTGTATGTATATATATAACTTAGATAAGTAGGTAGGTAGGTAGGTAGGTAGACAGAGATAGATAGATAGAGATATAACCACTACATAGCCCATTTAAACAGCAATGACTCAGAAATATGCCTCTTACATGTGCTCCAGGTCCTTCTGTGTATCTTCCAGAGAAATACCCAGCAACACACAGATGCCCCGTCCAATAGCACTTATTTGCTCTCCTCCAACTAGAAAGGAAACAAAAAGGAAAAAAGATTCAGAACCAAACAGGTGGCATGATGAACTTTTAAGTAACCAAAGGGATGTTTAAACATCACACATACTTCTTATAACTTCTTTTTTATCTAGAATGAATGAGTTCTTAAATGAATAACCATTAAGCCAAATTTTAGGGCCACATTTTCATCTGTGTTACCTTGGGTAAGACACCTCAAACTTTCCATGACAGAATTTGCCTATCTGTAAAAACAGAACAGTTTTCCTCTCCAGAGAATCAAGCTCAGCTGTATTAATTCTCTGAAAAGACATACCTGCTTTTCTTGGGAATCAGCAAATATGGTAACACAATATAGAGATAGCACAAAATAATAGACATTTATGTCAGAAAAATAAAGAAATAATTTTTTTACTTACTACAAAAAGATAAATATATTATACATAAAAACCATAGTTTAAAAGGTAAGCTTCAAGGTGCCTGAGTGGTGCAGTCAGTTGACATCCAACTTTTGGTTTCGGCTCAGGTCACGATCTCCGGGTCGTGGGATCAAACCCTGCGTCGAGCTCCAGAGCTCGAGACTCTCTCTCCCTCTTCCTCTGCTCCTCCCCCCTTCTCTAAAATACATAAATAAATCTTTTTAAATTTAAAAAAAAAATAATTAAATAAATACATGTTAAGCTTCAAGTCAGCAAACTTCTATTATTTCCCAGTTTGGTACTAAACTTTGTATTCTAATCCAAATCCCTTTCATTCATGCACCTCATCCACAAAAAAACAAATCTCTTAATAGATATTCCAAACATCTGTGTATGTATTTATAATCAAATGTATGCTTTACTAACATGAGGCAGTATCTCAGTGCTGGCACAGTTCTTAGGCCAAGATCCATCATTATTATGGTAAATCTAAATCATATTTCATAAGTCAATCAGAGAAAGACACGTATCATATGACCTCACTGATATGAGGAATTCTTAATCTCAGGAAACAAACTGAGGGTTGCTGGAGTGGTGGGGGGTGGGAGGGATGGAGTGGCTAGGTGATAGACATTGGGGAGGGTATGTGCTATGGTGAGCGCTGTGAAGTGTGCAAGACTGATGAATCACAGATCTGTACTTCTGAAACAAATAATGCAACATATGTTAAGAAAAAAGAAAAAGAAGAAGATAGCAGGAGGGGAAGAATGAAGGGGAGTAAGTCGGAGGGGGAGACGAACCATGAGAGACGATGGACTCTGAAAAACAAACTGAGGGTTCTAGAGGGGAGGAGAGTGGGGGGATGGGTTAGCCTGGTGATGGGTATTAAAGAGGGCACGTTCTGCGTGAAGCACTGGGTGTTAAGCACAAACAATGAATCATGGAACACTACATCAAAAACTAATGATGTATGGTGATTAACATAACAATAAAAAAAATTTTTTAAAAATCTAAACCATATTTCAAATGTTAAATCTTTGTAACTTTCAAAATTTTTGGCCAACTTTTTGCCAAATCTCATTAGATTACTGATGCCTTGTTATTTTACCATCTATTAACCTAATGTTCCAATCAGGAGAAGGGTAGACCCTGCCATTTTCCTGTTTGCTTCTGCTGGATAATAGTATCTATAAATATACCTGACAAGGCATCATAGACTGGAACGTGTTGCCATATCCTGCAAGCTAAGGAAAGAATGAGAAAGCCCCCTCTTCCTCCACCTATCTGACAAGGGACCACCTGACATGCAGACCCCAGGGGAGTATCAGCATCAACACATTCCAAACCAAGTATCAGTGAAGCTTAATTTCTCTTCTTCTTATGCTAAGAAGTATTTTCTTCTGTGTTGCTTTGCTTATAATGGACTATGAGTGATTTACTGTCCTTTGAGCCAATGACTCAGAAGCTGAAACAGAAATAATCTATCCTGAAATAAGCAGTAAACAATTGGGGTGGTTCACTTGTTTGGGGTGGTTCAGTTGTTTGTGGTGCTTTAGAAAAAGCTTCCGGCTTTATTTGTTCTTTAAAGAAGTCACTATTATTTTCTTATAATATCAATGTATTTTTTTTAATTTTCCCCATAGTTAATGATGTAATGTATGGTGATTAACATAACAATAAAAAATTTAAAGAAAAAAATTTTCCCCATAGTGTTTTAAAAGCTTAAATATAATGGTTATTGAGTTATAACCACCATTAAATTAATGCATAAGCATTATAGAAAATTTGGAAAATATAAGAAACAGGAAGGAAGGGCACCTGGGTGGCTCAGTTGGTTAAGTGACTGCCTTCGGCTCAGGTCATGATCCTGGAGTCACGGGATCGAGTCCCACATCGGGCTCCCTGCTCAGCAGGGAGTCTGCTTCTCCCTCTGACCCTCTTCCCTCTCATGCTCTCTATCTCTCATTCTCTCTCTCCCAAATAAATAAATAAAATCTTAAAAAAAAAAAACAGGAAGGAAAAAAAGAACACCCAAAGATAAGCACTTTAATATTTCAATGATTTCCTTTTGATATTTTCTCTATCCATGGGTTTAATTCATATTTGTTTTCAACTACTGTAATAATATTGTATATAAATTTTTGCATCCCATCTTTTCTCTTAACAGTGCCGAAGGACTTTTTCATGTGATAAGCTTTTCCTAAACATCTTTTAATAGTTACATCCCATCAAGTGGAATTGTTGCAGTCCATCCAATGGACCGACTAACCATCCCATTTGGCTGGATATATTGTTTGTTTCAAAATTCTCACTTCAATAAATTACACTCTGGGGAAAATCTTTGTATACTAGACTTTAGACTTTACATTTTAGAGCAGTTTTAAATTCACAGCAAAACTGAGCAAAGATAGAGATTCAGGTGTCTGGGTGGCTCAGTCGGTTAAGTGTCCGACTCTTGATTTGGGCTCAGGTCATGATCTCAGGGTCGTGAGATCGAGCCCTACATCAGGCTCTGTGCTGGGCATGGAGCCTGCTTAAGATTCTCTCTCTCCTTCTCCCTCTGCCCCACATCCCCTCTCAAAAATAAAAGAAAAAGGTACTATACTCACTGTCCCCATACATACATAGCTTCCCCATTGTCAACATCCCCCACCAGAGGGGTACATTTGTTACAACTGATGAACCTGCACTGACACATTATTATCACTCAAAGTCCATAGTTGACATTAGGGTTCACTCTTGGTGGTGTACATTCTATAGGTTTGGACAAATATACAGTAACATGTATCCACCATTACAGTATCATACAGAGTAGTTTCACTGCTCTAAGAATCCTCCCTGCTCTGCCTATTCATCCCTCTAAATCTTTTCCTACAATTAGTATTCTCTTCTTAGAACAGATTCTGAAAAGTAGAATCACTATTCAAAGTGATTCAAATCACTACCTGAAGAGTTTCATGCCTCTCCCTCTTCCTCACCCACTCTCTCGTGCTCTCTCTCTCTCTCAAATAAATTTTTTTAAAAAAAGTTTTTTTTAAAAAGGGGGGGCGCCTTGGGGCACCTTGGTGGCTCAGTCATTAAGCGTCTGCCTTCGGCTCAGGTCATGATCCCAGGGTCCTGGGATCGAGCCCCATTTCGGGCTCCCTGCTCAGCGGGAAGCCTGCTTCTCCCTCTCCCACTCCCCCTGCTTGTGTTCCTGCTCTCACTCTCTCTCTCTCTGTCAAATAAATAAATAAAATCTTTAAAAAAGGGGGGGGGGCGCCTGGGTGGCTCAATCAGTTAAGTGTTTCCCTTTGGCTCAGGTCATGGTCCCAGAGGGGCTCCCTGCTCAGTGGGGAGCCTGCTTCTCCCTCTCCAAGCTCTGCCACGCTTTCATGCTCCCTCTTTCTCAAATAAGTAAAATCTTTAAAAAAATTTTTTTGAAGAGTTTCAACATTTTTATAATGTATTACTGCCTTAATAAGAAACATATTATGCCCCAAAGCCTATATATAACATAGTTTGCTCTCTTATTTTGGAGTAGTTTTGTTCCCCCCGCTGCTCCAGGGACAAGTAGAAGAACTAGGAGATCCAAAGCGTTCTTTTATTATAGACAAATGGATTTCCAAGGGAAAAAACTTGAGTCACTAATTTAGACAACACATCACAGGGCTAGAAAAGACCTGAGATATTTGGTCACTTTACCATGTACACTGGCATCACCACTGACCTCTTCTTCAAGAAGAATTCACAACCTCTCAAATTAACTCATTCAAGCCCATTTTAGATCCTCTTCCCAACATTCTATGAGTCTATTCAGATTTTCGCTGCTGAAACTAAGTGATGGGACATGGGAGTTACACTTTGCCACCTGTGTAACCAAAAGAATATGTTTGAAATGTTCCATAATAAAGCTTTTAAAATTAGATTATCACAATAACCATGCTAAGGCATCAAAATGTGCTTGACCAATCTCATTAAGTGAGCCTGCCACATAATTAGATATGACTCCTAATATTGTACTCTGTCCCAACCATAAAATCAGAAGTGACATTTTAGAACCCCCATGATAAAATGCCATTCGTGTACAGCCATGTTTCAGTGAAGCCAGTCACATTCTAAAAGAATCAGAAAATCTTTCCATTACAGTTCAACTAGAAGGCCTGGCTAACCTGAAGGTCCCTCCAGCACTGAGAGAGAATTCCATTTTATTTAAAACTTCCTACAATACCCTTCTCTTTTTTTAAATACCCTTACCTTTTTTAATATGCAGTTTTGTTTGTTGTTTTTTAACCAAAAGCACCAATTTAAATAGTAAACTAAAATCACTCAAACTATTCAGCAAATCTCACAAAATACATGTTCTCAATATTCCAGATCAGCAGAATGAAGAGTGCAAGAGAAAATTAGAACTTAAATTCCTCAAAGTTCACTCATTGTTCGTGATGACCACACAGAGCAGAATGCAAGATTTTGCTCAAAAAAGCAAAAAATCTTTTCATCTATGTATTTCCCCAGTTTTAGTTCATTTAAATATTAACTGAAAGGCCAAAAAACCTTTGTTTTAAAAGCCGGGTAAATCCCAAAGCTATTGTGTTCCCTATTACTCCAGGACCATATCCAAAATCAGTTAACAGAACAGCTTAGAAATCATTAGGTAGCACTGAAAAGTAGACTCTCAGATCTAAATATATGGTTTTGCTGGGTGCGTTGTTTCTTTAGGGGATTTTGTTGCTTTGTTTTTAAATTTAGATTTTTGTGGACACAAAAACACACATTTGGTGTAGACTGGTTAAAGAAAAGGATATCTGGAATTACCTGGACTGAGACAATACTGTAAGTCTGAAGAAAAAAACCAGAAGACTTAGAAGACAATCTTAAAATTAGTCATTAAAAAAATTTTTAACATCTTTTTATCTTGGTTTGACTTTCTAAAACGACTACCTTACATACATTAATCATCTGGATCTCTGATGTTCGAACTAGACTACAGTGATCCAGCAATGACGAATGGCTGGGTGGCTTGGTCCACAAGAAACTGGTGGCAAAGAGAAATATTTCATCCAGAATTCTTTAGATTCCGACCCCATCCCTACAGGGTTAGAGAAGTGAGAAAGAGAGGTGTCCTAGGGGGCGGGGATCATTCTGTATCTAGCCTGGGTGCTGGTCACGTGGGTGTGCACAACTGTCAGAACTCATCCATTTGAACAACTCTTCATATCTGTGCATTTTATTGGCAGTCAAGCTCCATAAAAATTGGGACATGTAGACAATGGGCAAGAATGGGAAATTTAAAACAGAACGTTGTAAGAGGGGAATCGGGGTCCTTGCTCCGGAAATGCTGCCTACGTGTTGTTTGTGCAACATTCCACAGAAGAACGGGCCATGGGGATGCTCGGAGGTTCTGCCACCCGATACTTGGGACCAAAAAAAAAAACAAAAAACGATAATAAGGCGCCTTTATCGTGAACCCAAAGCAGAACCCTGCAGCCAGGGCCGCGCGTGAGTCCGCGGGGCACGTGGACTGCTCCGCGGCCGCGGCGGCGCCCGGAGCCAACCCGGGGACTCCGGGCTGCGGGGGCAGAGCTGGCCAGGGCCCGCAGAGGCCGTAGCGGCCCTGGGGACGGCCCAGCGGAACCCTCGCGGGGGCGGCCAGTGACTGCCGGGCGCGGGGTCAGGGGTGGCTCCTCCCGGGCCCGGCCCCGGCCCCGCCCGACTGACCTGTGACGCTGGCCCGGGTGACGCGCTGCACCACGGCTTTCATGGCGGCGGCTGGGGCGAGTGGGGCGGCGCCGCGCTCCTTCCGGCCTCGCGACTCTGCGGGCGGCTCGGCGGCCGGCGCCCTCTGCGGGTGACACCAGGAAGCGCGCCGAACCGCCCGGTCGGCCCCGGTTGGCGGCGACACGCCCACGTCGGACACGCCTACCTGGCATAGGTCCCGCCCCTTCCTCGGTCTCGCCCCAGCCGCAGGTGAGCCCAGCCCCCACCAGATACAGAAACCCCTGCCCGGCCCCTGCCCCTACGCAGTTTCTGCACCGGATGTTTCTCACGTCCCCGACCTGAAAGCCAATCATCCGTAAATCCCAGCTTTGTTCTGAATCCTAATCCTGTGCTCCGACTCTCACCCTTCCACCCCTCTGTCCTGATGCTCCCAAATTCCTTTTCCCTTGTTTTCCTGCTTTAGTGGCTTCTCATAAACCAGACAGAACAGAATCTGCTGCCTAAAATAGCCATTTAACTATGGTATGTAAGTATTCATATGACTTAGCCATGCCATGGCAGTGCAGAGATCTATGAGCCTGTAATTCTAATTCCTCTAATACTAACACTTAGCAGCTCCACTCACGCAGGGTTGTTAGGAGATTTAAATAAAACAGACTGTGTAAAAATCATTTGAAAACTGCAAAGGACTGTACAAGTATTACCCTAACAAATTATTATCACTGATAAAAATAAGCCCCTTTCAGGAGCGCCTGGGTGGCTCAGTCGGTTAAGTGTCTGTCTTCTGCTACAGTCATGACCTCAAGGTCTTGGGATCTAGCCCCAAATCAGGCTCCCTGCCCAGTGGGGAGTCTGCTACTCCCTCTCCCTCTGCCTCCCCCCGCCTCTCCCCTCGCCTCTGCTCAGGCTCTCTCTTGCTGTCTTGCTCTCTGTCTCAAATAAATCTTTAAATAAATTAATTAATTAAATAAAAATAAATAAAAAAATAAAATAAAAAATAAGCCCCTTTCAGTGTGCCTTCTTCTCCAAGCCCTCTAATAGTATTAGTGGGTGTGGTGTGATGACATTCAGAACAGGCTACCCCAAAATATGGCACCTTGGCATATTGAATACTGTAAACTAACGGAGCTTGAGAAAGCAGCAGGATCAGGAAAGTCACTCTGAGCTTCCCTCCACCCTTCTCCCCTGAAACCAGTCAAAAATCCTTGTGTGAGAGGTGTCTTCCTCCACCCTGATCTGCAAAGACAAAGGGATGGCAAGAACAAACAGGCCTTGCTAAGTTTCTCCTGGTTTACTATGCTTACCTCATAGTCCTTGACCTATTACGTTCCTCCGTGATGTCCACTCTTCATCAAAAATAGCATAAGAAGGGGCGCCTGGGTGGCTCAGTCATTAGGCGTCTGCCTTCGGCTCAGGTTGGGATCCCAGGGTCCTGGATTCGAGCCCCGCATCCCATCGGCTCCCTGCTCCGTGAGCGGCCTGCTTCTCCCTCTCCCACTCCCCCTGCTTGTGTTCCCTCTCTCTGTCAAATAAATAAATAAAATCTTTAAACAAAAAAATAATATAAGAATATACAAGTCTGTTTCTTTGAGTTTTCATTTTCTTGTGAAGGCTCCCCTGTCCTGTAAAACTTAAATAAATCTGTGAACTTTTCTCCTGTTATTTGCTTTGTCAGCTTAATTGTCAGACCCAACCAGAGCCCGAAGAGTGAGAAAAACTTAAAATTTGAAAATTTTTTACATTAAATCAGCATAGCTCAAACATTTCAATGTCAAGATCCCTTTACATTCTCAAAAATTATTTAACACCCCAAATAGCTTTTGTTTATCTAGGTTATATCTAAAGAGATTTACTGTATTAGAAATTACAACAAAGAAAAATCATTAAGCATTGATTTATAATGCATTTAAAACAACAATAATAAATTCATTTTATGTTAACATTAGAGCAATGAGGTCATTACACACCATGGAACTTCTGGAAACCCCCATTGTACACTCCTGAAGGAGTAAGAGTGGAAAAGGCAAATATTGTCTATATATCATTATAGAAAGAGTTGGCAATCACACATCCTCTAAGGGGACACTTTGAGAACTGGTGGATTTGATAATGGCATTAAATCAATATTAATTTCCTGATTTGTATGTAAGAGAACATCCTTGTTTATAGAAAATACACACTGAGGTATTTAGAAGTAAAGGCACATCATATCTGCAATTTACTCTCAAATGCTTTGGAGAAAAATAATACCTACAGAGAAAATAAAGAGAGTGATAGAGCAAATGGAGTAAAATGTTGACAATTTGGAAGGGAAGGACGCTTACTTTTCTGTAAGTTGGAAATTATTTCAAAATAAAAGGCTTTAGGGGCCCCTGGCTGCCTCAGTCGGAGGAGCATGCAACTTTTGATCTCAGGGTTGTGAGTTCGAGCCCCACGTTGGGTGTAGGGATTAATTAAAAATAAAAAACGTAATTAATTAATTGAAGGTTTTAAAAAGATACCAAAACACCCAAGTTCGTTTTTTACATTTATTGACCTAAAAAAGGTCAACACCAGAGGCAAAAGCAGGTCCCTCTTCCAGGGGCCTCCTCCCCTCCGCAAGAGTTCTCCTCTGGCTCCTCAATTACTACTCTCCCCGGGGTTCCCTCCTTCCCATCTTCCTCACTCCACTTGCACCCTGGCTTTCCTCTCCATTCTCACCTATTTTAAATTCTGCCTTCGTGCCCCCGACTCACATTTTCATTTCTGCTCCAGACATCTCCTGTGAGTTTGTGCTTCCAAATACCTTCTTCACATCCCCATTTCCATGAATCAGAGATGTCACAAAGTGAATAGATTTTAAATGGAATTCAGGATATCCACCCCTGTTGTGTAATAATTTGTCTGGTCTTTGTTCTGGGTTTCTGGCACAGAGCTTCTAAAATCCTCAGAATCCCCCAAGAGATAGGAGTGTGTTTGTTCTTTGCACCCCTTGATCACACCTGACTTTATGCCATTAAGCCAGTTCAAGAGGGGAGCTAGTCACCGGAAAGCCCCATCATGTGAGTCATTGTGACAAACCTGAGGGAGTCACAGAAACTCCCAAATCTGTAGCCCACTGGTCAGAAATACAGTGGCCTGGACCCCTGAAATGAACCTGGCATCTGAAGTAAGAGCAGCCTTGTTGTGGATGTGCCCTTAAACTTGCAGGGTCAGGGCTGTCTGGATGGTTAGTGCCAGGACAGAACTGCAAAACACTGGTTGGTGTTAGAAGAACTCCCTAATCCCTCCATACTCCACCACCTAGGCCATCACTATCTAAACAAATGGCTCCAATGTTTACCAGAATCCTAAGTGACTTGTAGTTGCCCCCTTCCCCTCTCCCCAAGTATCTAGTCCATCACAAATCTTCTCACTCTCCAAAACATACCCCCAAGTGCCCTCTTCTCTCCATCCCCATTCATCCTGTCACATGCTCCCCATCATCTCTCACTGGGATTTCTACCACAGCTCTCTCACTTCTCTCCCTACTGCCATATTGGTCCCCCTCCAACCCATTCTCCATAGAGAAATCAAAGTGATGTTCCTAAAGTATAAATTCTTCACTTTCCAGACTCTGGTCTTCTTCACATTTCTCAAATAAATCCATTTGTTCCTACCTCAGGACCTCAGCATCTGCTGGTCCTCCATCTGGAATAGTCTCCCCCCATTCTTTGTACATCTTGCTCCTCTCCTTCCTTTAAGTTTTCAGCTCAGACGCTTCCTCCTCAGACAGACCTTCTCTGACCACACAGACAAAAGCATCCCTGTTCCCCGTTATTTCCCGTCACCATCCCGTGCTTCCCTCATATTCTGGCAACTTTTTTTTTTAATGTTATTTATTTACGTGAGAGAGAGAGAGAGAGAGAGCACGAGCAGGGGGAGGGGCAGAGGGAGAAGCAGAGCCCTGGGATGGAGACCTGAGCCAAAGGCAGACGCTTAATGGACTGAGCCACCCAGGTGCCCCCATCCTCCGGCAACTTTCAATTACTCTAGTGCCTGCTAGGCTGTGTTCTATTCATGTCTCTCATGCTTACCCTTTTATCTGAAGTATCTAACACAGTACCCATAGCTCCGATAACATTGTTCAATGAATAAATGTGTGAACGTGGCTTCTTGCTTGTATCCTAGACTTATAGTATGGCTGTGGCTGTTCTAGGAATTCTATCCAGACCCAATGTCCAGAGGTACAGAAGACCATCTCTTCCTGATCCTTCCTCTGAAGCTAGGACATCTTGCCCGGAAGCCCTTCACACTTGGCTAGCCAGAATGAGATCACATGACCATGCTTAACCCAATCACTGGAAGGAAGATGGGACTTGATCCCCCCACCACCACCCAGATGATTCGCTGAGACAAAAGGTTCTTGCCTCCCGGCACACAGCCCTCCAGAGAGTTATAGGAGGTGTGTGTGAAGGGGGTCTGGAGCTGTCACAGTGTCTGGAGGTTGTTACTGGCATTTAATGACCAGAGAATTTGAAATGTTGAGGCTCTTGCAACACCTGGGGCAGCCCACAAACGGGATTGACCCATCACAGTGCCAGGAGTGCCCCCTTTGAGAAACACTGACTTGGACCAACCAGGACCTGCCCTACGGATGGAGCCAGTCCCCCTAAAGCACAGGATGGGGTAGACTCACCGGTCTGTAATAAAGCAGGAATGGAAGTAGTGGATGTCTGGAAGGCAATCAGCAGTGTCTACCAAAAGGTCGTTTTCAGCTCAATGCCACGTTGAGCAAGTTTTATTGAAGAGGCTTCTGCCTGAATCTTTTCAGTTATCTCTGTAAATTCCTGAAAGCGGGATTGCTGGATCAAAGGATACGCCATTTTCCATTTTGATACACATTGCTAAACTGCGCTGCTGAAGAAGTATATGAACACCAGGGTAAAACCTCTTTCAGGGCACAGGCAAGTTCCATGCGACAAACGACTTCCTGGGGTACCAAAAGTGAAGCAGCAGAGGACTACAGGAGGGGACTGGACTTAAAGCAGGAAGGTGTTCACACCTGATTCTCAGGACTACCTCAGACATATTTTACTCCTGGTAACTGTAGCATGGACACAGAGCACTTTCTCAGTGGAAAGTCATAACCCTGCCAGCGGACAGGGTAGATATGATGCCTTTTCGTCAAAAGGAACTGAGGCTCAGAAAAGTAGAGGAAATTATTCTATCGCGGAA